ATTTTTTTCTAAAAATATCTAATTTTTTAAGTTTTTTTCCTCAGTGTTTAATTTTCTTATTTATTATCTTTTTTCCTCTAATATTCTAAATAATTCTTATCTTGTTGTCTTCGTCTCGCTACGAGGTCTCATCGACTCTATGTGCTTGCCTCTACCATATCGTTTCTATGTGATCATCTCTATCTCATCGCAAAGGCCTCCTTTCCCTCTATAAGGTTTCATTACTTTCACCTCGCTACGAGCTACTATCGTATCTAAGTGGCCAAGCGTGAAGATGAGAGAAGAAAAAAGAAGAAAAGTCGAAGCGTACATAGAAAAAAATAAAAGAGAAGCAAAAGGACGAAAGCGACGAATGATAAGTGAGGATAAGGTGTGTTTAAGATATTAGAGAAAAAAACTAAATAGTATTTAAAAAAAATCCAGAGATAATTTTTTAGAAAAATCATACAACATTTGTTTGATTCTTATGTAATGAGGTTTATGCAACGCCTGAGAAAGGAGATGGAAGTTTGGCTTTTAATATTCCTGCTCCTTTAGAGTAGTATACCCATCATGGGACCTTCGTTTGGGCGACAAAGCACAAGTGCATGATATGTCACCACATACAGATACAAGAAGGCCAAGAACCGAGGCTTTCTCACGTCATGTCCTCACTCCTAGGATTCTCTCTGGTGACTTTCCAATTGCCGAGAGTTTGTTGTTTCCTTATGGAGATGGATGCTGCAGCTGATAGATTCTGATCTGGTCCCAACAGGTAAGGAAACAGGAAGCATCATAGGATCGCTTTGTTCTTGGTCAGATGTTTGTGTTGATTCCTTTGCAGATCTTTTGGGTCGAGCGAGTTCAAACCCAAATAGCCTCTTTGGCTGGGGAATCTCTGCGATTTCCATGTTAGATTTTTTCTTCTTTGTTCTAGTTGGACATGCTTGTAACGTAATCTTTGATGGCATCACCATTTGGGGACTTGATTTCTGCGTCTTTCTTTTTTTGTGTTTGACCGGGTAGGGTTCATCTTCTTTTCCCTGGACAATTTCTAAGATCTTCTGATGTAATTTCCTACATTGATTGCGTTGGTTTTTAGGGGTGGCCACTGCAAGGGCTCGACTGTGTTGATTGAAGTTGTTTCTCTCTGTTGGAAATATGAAACCATTCATCCTTTCTAAGTTTTCTGTTTCCTTCGAGCCTTGCATTACAGTCTTCAGTGGTTTGTGCTTCTTTTATGCAGGGAAGGTAGTCCTTCTCCTCGAGGATCGTAAAGCTTGACCTTTTCCTTCTTTCCCCCCTTTCTTGTGTTCGCTTGAAGTTTAGACTTGAAAGGTTGTGTGAATTCTTTTTGTCGGACTGGCTAAGAGGTAGGAAAGTAGCTGGTGTCTCTGGGCCTTAAAGAAAGCAGCAAGATGGGGCACCGAGCCTGATGATCCGATGGTATTCTAGGTTTCAGCAGGAAGAACTGATAAATGAGCATGACAATGGCGACTCAGGGCGTTGGTGGAGGGCAGCAGTCACCGATCCAGAGCTTGGCCAGGCAAGGGTCCCTTTACAGCCTCACCCTCAATGAGGTCCAGAGCCACTTGGGTGAGCCCTTGCACAGCATGAACCTTGATGAGCTCCTCAGGAGTGTGATCCCGTGCGAGGATAATCAGTCTGCAGGCCCTGACGATGGCGGCGGCACTGGCGTAGGATGTCCAGGCATCCGGTGCGAGGGGAGTATCACCATGCCGCGTGCCCTGAGCAAGAAGACAGTCGACGAGGTGTGGAGGCACATCCAAACAGGGCAGAAGGAGAATAGTGATGGTGTTGCGGATTATGGAAGGCAGCCGACCCTAGGGGAAATGACTCTTGAGGACTTCTTGTCAAAAGCTGGGGTGGTCACGGAAGGATCTGATCAGAGTAGGAGCAATCGGATTGGCAATGTGGGTCTTGATCCAAGGACACAGTGGTTGCAGCAGTATCATCAGCATCAGCAGCAACAAGCTCAGCAGAGCAGAATGGGAGCTTTTGTGGGTCAACAGGTGCCACAACCTCTGGCTGTCGGCGTTGGAACCATGTTGGACTCGAGGTACCGTGATGGTGAAGGAGCCAGTTTGTCCCCACTTGATCCACAAACACCAAGGCGGAAGAGGGGGCCTTCGGAGGACACGACGAAGAAGACTGTCGAGAGGAAGCAGAAGAGAATGATCAAGAACCGTGAGTCAGCTGCCCGTTCACGAGCTAGGAAGCAGGCAAGACTATGGATGTTTTATCTTTGTTGATGCTAGTGTTGATTCATGGATCTTAGTTATACACATCTGGTTTTTCTATGAACAGGCTTACACGAATGAGCTGGAGAACAAGGTCTCCCGACTTGAAGAAGAAAATCAGAGGTTGAGACAGCAAAGGGTACCTTCTATATTTTTCCTTTAACTTCCTCTAATTGATGATAGATCAATGATTCAAGTTGGTGAGGATGGATGGATACAAAAACCCTATTCTTATCTCACTATTAATTATTTTATATTTAGTGGTCATTTGAATGAAATAAAATCTACATCTTTCTGATGCGGTTTTCATCAGAAGCATAATCTTCAATCACCTAAACTTAAATGGTACTTCAAAGTTTGGAAAATATATTATATAACTTAATCTGCTTTTTCTATTCCCAATTTTGATATTAGCAAATTTATGTTCATCATTGGAAAAATTATCTTGCAAGTAATATTACAACTTTATTTATTGCTCCATTTCTCTGCAGTAAGAAAAAGAGAGAAAAAAAAGTGGAGAAGTTGGATAATTGATGGTATAAAACAAGTTTTGACAAGTTCAGAATAGTTCCTATCTTGGATTGCTATGGACAGATTAAGATAAGAAAGAAAGTCTGAAGAAAATTGAAAAGTAATATCTGCCTGGGCCAGAGATTTTAGTCAGACGATCTGTCTACGTCTGAGATCTCATAATATAAAGCACAAGGAGATTGTATTCAGGTCTTCTTAAACTGCCAGCCACATCTAGTAAGAGAGTAAAAAATGCTAACGAAAGAGTAAAAGGAGGCAAGCTAGTCCCTCAAACCTTTTGACCTTCAAATATATTTCTGAATCAGTTTGAATCTGACTACCTTCTAAAAAGTGCCTCCGATGCACCTGTTTATGACTGATGTGAGGAAATTTTAGTAAGCTGTCGTAAACCATTACTGGACTGGATTAAAGATTAATGAATGGATATCTTGACGTTTTGCATCATAGATAATGCTCAATGTTTTTGGGTCCAACAGCAGAGAAAACTCTTGTTTTGGTCAATTTATAAGGTAATAAATGGTGACTATTTTTAAGTTTGACAGCAAGTTTATGCATTTTCTAGCTTGCAAAATTTACAGAAATTTCACAAGTCACCAAACTTATAAATAACTTGCTGTGTCAAAGATCATAGCTAAAAGGGTTGTAATAGACTAGATAGTAGGATATTTTAAATTACAACTTCCAGTATTGTTACTATTTTCATGGTCGTTATTGTTACTTCTATTGTTGTTGTTGTTGTCGTCTTTCTTCATTTTGTAAATTCAAAATCAACATTGGTTCCCATTGCCAGAAGAGATTGTGTTGGATCATATAGTTTTTATGGTAGACTATGAAAGTTGAAAGAAACTTTTAATTGTTGAAAATGTTAAAAGTAGTAAGTGCTTCTGATGCAACTGGTGGAAATACATGCATCAGACCTTTGGTTGAAATGGTGAAAGCAAGTTCATTTTACTGAAACATTAGTGTAGAAACAATTAAAAGGACTTTTCTTACTTCACTTAATATTCTGTTAGTTATCATCTTATGTTTCAGATAGTATACTCATCTGAATCTGATAATTCTCGTTATGTATCAAATACTTTTAAGTGTGTGATCTTTCACTTAGTTATTAATTAATTGGATACGTACTGGGTGCTTGAAGATATCTTGCGAAGACTTCTTGTGAGAACTTCTTTTTCTAATTCTTGTGAGGACTTAGTAGTATTTTCTCCACTGTTGATACTCAATAATTGACGAGATGGGCATATGGTTTTAGATATGTTGTTATTGTTGTCACTTGAATTGAATATTCATTTATGATATAAATTTACGGTTTTCTCCACTGTTGATACTCAATAAAATTAAGATGATGGTTTCATCTTCTTTCATACTTGTTTTTTTTTAAATTTTCATTACCTGGTTGGAGCATTATATTAAATAACACTAAGATCTGTCCTATGCAGCAGATTTTGTGCTTGCAGCTGCTAAAATGCATATGGTAGACTTCTGCTGGAATGTTTATGTATTTTCCTTTTGGTCTGAATTGTTAAGAGGAGTGGAGGCAACATTTAGCTTCTGGACTTATATATAGATATTAGAATCTAGAAAATATAGGATTTGAACTTGATTCTGCTTTTCAATCATCAAGGGATTCCTTCTGAACTCATCAATCTCATTCACTTCTGGTGTATCCATGATCGAGAAATTGCCATGAAGCTACAATTATGTGTTAAAGGTTCTTCCAGTTAAGCGTTCAATTCCAGATGGCCTGCTAATGCTTTCCCTTTATATAGCAATTTCATGTACTGGCTTCCCACGGAAGAGTTTTTGCTGGATTGTTCTTCACATGCTGTTGTTTTTATGGCCTTTTTCTTTCCTTCCTTTCAAGACCATTATCCCTGAACTTCCAAGACTTGATGCTAATTTACTGTTAATGAAGAAAGTTCAATATTATTTATCTGATTTCGAGGCTTATCTGTTGATCCAATTTGCTGAATCTGTCATCTGAAACTTAAAAAACCATAGTTGATGGGAAAATGGTTGCCCCGAGTCTCTCTTGCCCATTGTTTAAGATCATAACTTTTGTGATATTTATGTTGAACTTCAAATATATGTGGGCCTTGGTAACTTAATAAGCCTTTAGTTGTTTAATCTTGGATTAAGTTCAATTTGACCAAAGGTTCTTAATTTCATACCGTATCGACGTTTCTAGCTTTGCTCGATATGGTACGGTTCGAGTGTACCGATCGGTACGTCAGGGTGTCCCGCTCGGTGTGTGTATATATATATATATATATATATATATATATATATATATATATATATATATACACACATAAAAAATAAGAAAAAGGAGGTGTATGCTACCTCGGCGACGTCGCCTCCTTTTCTTCTCCTCGTTGCGTTAGATGAGGAGAAGACATGGTCTTCTCCTCATTTGCTGTGTTCAACGAAGACGGTGAAGGCCATAGACGTCTCTGAAGAACGCGGAAGAAGAAGCCGAGATGTCGCCTCTCTGTTACCTCATAGATCGGGATCGTCGAGGGAGGGCGACGTTGGATTGGGAAGTGTCGAGGTTCTCCCGATTATCCCTCTTCTTCGAACACCTTCTCCCTCTTCTCCCTCGACGCTTCTTTTTCGCTCACTGCAACCAAGTTGATACTGCCCATAGCGAGTGGTCCACGTACCAGTCTATTGGCAGACTGGTATGTACCGTTGGATACAGGCAGTATCATTTGAAATTAATATCCTTGATTTGATCTATATGGGATTCAGGTTTGATAATTTGTTGACTTGATACTATCTTTCAGATGGAAGACTTGGTCGAGGAGAGAACTATCGCAGAAAGTGTAGGGAAATCTAGGGCCAACATCACATGTGCAGAAGAACATAAAAACAACAATATTAGATTTCCCAAAAAGGTATTCATCGTCGTGCGAAGATTGGTGCGTAAAAACCCGCTAAACTGAAAGCCACGTATGAGATAGATGCGTTACCTAGGGAGATTGTATATCCTTGAATTCCTGCAGATCTGTAGAAGAGGATGAAGGAGATCAAGTGTTCTCCTTTCTAGCGGTGATCTATATGGCAGGGGCTGCGTAGATGCTCCTCGAGTCACTACTCAAATCTCCACACTTGTTGTCTGAGGAGAAGGGAAGAGGAGAATAGGAGGTGGCAACCAAAAAGGCCTAGCCTATGACCCTTTAGTTCTCTCCTATTTATAGAGGTCCCTTATCAACTTAACTCTAATGAATTCTACTATATTGGATATTGGATCTCTATCCAATTACCTAAGGCTCTTATATTAGTATATTAGTGGGTCTCTACCTAATAATCTCTTATTAGCTCTTATTGGATCTTATCTATAGGATCCAATAATTCATAGGCTTAATGGATATCCAATAAGATAGGGGCTTCGGCGAATATCTCATATCTGAACCCCTATTCGTCGTAACACCTACCATATGTGTGTGACCCTCTAGGTCCAATATCGAGTTGTCCGTGAGTCATACATATCAGAACTCCTTTTGGCTCAGTGAATTATCATCTTCATAATGATTCACTTGACTCATCGACTGCGAACGTACTAGGCCACTACGCTGTAGTCCCTAGATGATATAGGGGAATCTAATCCTTTGGACCTATCTGTCCTCAGTTATTATGTACCTATAGTCCCTCATCCATCTAATATCCCAGAGACTATATACTAGGCATGGTGCTGTTAGGCCCATACGATTTCTCCTCGAGTCTTATTCTAATCGGATTCTCCTATAAAACTCTTTCTCTCTTAATTCGAATGACCTTGGCTAAGAATTTGTGTGAGTAAGAACACATGAGATATTCCTCTCATGATATTGAGAGCGGATGATCCTCTATTCACACTCAATAACCCTCGTAATGTTCATTGTCACTTCCGATGCCCAGTTGTACTAGATCTGGAACTATCAAACCTATAAGTCTGGTATCAAAGAGTGGAGTACTCATACAAGACATCCTTGATGTCTTAAGTTTAAGGACCAGGTACACCACTGAGACGATGAAATCACTATTTGACAATGAGGTATCATCAACCATTCAACATTCCGTGAGCGGATCAATCAGTGAACTCATTCTCCAATGAGCACCTGCATTGTAGCCCTAGTGTCCCCATACGAACAGCTATGAGACCAGCTGCTTCCATTATATGGACAGGCATACAGCACACCAGTCTATTCGGTTATCTCGATGTCCCTCTCAAATAACCTATAACCAAGATTATTTAGGGTCTGTGTTTAAAGGTGAATCGGTCTTATTATCGTGATCTGATCACGATCCGATTCCCATTGCATAGATCCATGGACATCACAATATATTAAAGCATCAAATAATATAAAGTGAAAAATACTATAATAATAATAAGCAAAAAGACTGCATGTCATGTCATACGTGCCATTACGCACGTGATTGGCCTGTAGGGCACCTATGACTAGCAGAAAGACTAAGCGTAAAACCGAAAGAAAACAACTTATATTGCTTGTAAAGCTAAAAGTGCTAGCTACAAGACTTAAAACAATAGAATTAAAAGTGCATAACCAGACCAATAGGTGCATAGAGTGCAGGTTGTCTTTGGACAGCTCTTGGCTGCTCTCGGCAATTTATGGAATGTTGCCAGTTTCAACCTCCTCCTCTCTTGCTGCTGCAACCTCCTTCGGAGGTTTGGACAACAAGCATTGGGGACTTCTCACAACAGTTGGATAAAGCTTTAATGCAAGGTTTTGGTTACTAGAACACAAGGAAGAAGGCTATGATTGGAAGGATGGGCTATACCTCACAGAATTCCTCCTTTCTCTCTTCTCCTCTCGTTTCTTCTCTCTTTTGAGGTTGGAATAGCTAGGGCTAGTTGGGCTTTTGCTTGAGACTTCTTTTGATTGTCTTTAAATGGGAGCACACCCCTTGTTTTATAGGGTGAGGGATACGTAAAGTCCTTAGGGTTTAATGACTTTCCTTGTAGGATAATTTCTCGACAACGATCTTTGTTATTGTCATCGTTGCCAAAAGATCTAGAAACCAAGCTCTGATATCAGTTTGTTAGAGCTGGTCCTAGGAAATTTACCAAAGGGTAATTTGACAACCCAATAAAGATAATAAAGCAGAAAAATAAAAGAGACAAGGACACCAGATTTACGTCGTTCGGTCAATTGACCTACGTCCACGGACGGAGGAGGAGCAAAACTTTACTATAAAAGGGATAATTACAAATGTCTTAGGAAAAAGTTCCTAGGCCATAAAACACCTGAAACTACTAAACAAGAAAAACCCAAACTATAAGCCCAAACTATTTTAACTAAGTGTGGACTTAACAGAAATTAAACCCAAAGCAAACAATTAGATTTTTCTTGTGGTGCTTCTGGCTTCAAAGCCTAGACCCTTATTTATAGTTGCAATTGGAGATAACAAGTTTGATTTTCCCGATGTGGGACTACGTGGGACTTGCCAAACTAACAAAGGATGTTTGGTAAGGAATTATACAAGGAAAAAAAGACCCTCTTTCGACAAGCAGCTAGTAACCTGTGGTATGAAGAGGAAGTGATTTTAGGGTACAGATTCTAAGCTTGAATGCTGTAGTAGTATTTTTGTCAATTAATCTGCAAAAAACTATTCACGCGTGAGGAGATTAAGGTCAAGGTTGAAGGTTTCCAAGCTTTAGCAAATATGACCATGCGTAAGGATGCATAATTAAGGTAGCAATTGTAATCTTTGCATGATCTTCCACTAAAGTTAAGGTGGTCCTGATTTCTGACATAAATGATAAGAATGCTCATACTGGTAGAGTTAACCATTGTGTAAACATGCATCAATGTAAAGAATTCTTTTGTTGCATCTGTGCGGAATTTATATTGCTGGGGAACTTCCATTGAGCAAAGTGCCTAAATATTGGCGCTCACCAGTTCAGATATGTGTTGCTGACTTCTTTCAAAATTTATTAGTAAACTTGGCCAGGCGATATTTTACAGAAGTTGCTGCACTCATTGTGGCACAAATAATGATTGATATGTATTCCATTATAGATTTGATACCAAGTGAAAAATGCCTTTTTTCATCAAACTTCTTTGATTTATATCTGTGCATCGGCACGAAGTTAATGTTTATTTGCTTATCCGCAGGAGTTGGAAGCTATGATACACTATATTCCCCAGCCCGAACCAAAGCATCAACTCCGTCGAACGAGTTCAGCCGCTTTCTGATCCGACGAGAGATCTGGATGGGTTGGTCTATTAAGTTATGCATTAGGAACATATGTTTGCATGTTGATTCAGCTCCAGGATTCATTCACAATAGAGTGGGAGCTGAACGGTCTGCTGCTTGTGTTCTAAGATTGTATCTGGCCTTCTTTGGTTTGTCTAAGTGAATGATTTTGAACATAAAGAACTCGATGAGTATTGTGATATAAGATATTCCACTTCTCATGTGCCTTTACCTGTTCGTTGCTGAGATCCAATGACAAATGAAGTGTTGTTTCTTCTTCACTTGTTTGATCTGAAGATTGACTTCATTAGAACTGCAAGCATGCAGGCAAATTGTAATTCATCACAATATATGTTGCACTTTCAATTCCTTTGTTCAAGAGCACTTGTGACTTAATGTTGAAATCTATATTAGCAGATTCAGTAATGTTGTATGAAACATAGAACAGATAGAACGAATACAAAAAGCCTATTCAGATTTATCAACGAGACGATTCCAATATTACAAGACTCGTCTTCCGCCTGAAGAAAGATTATGCGATAAGATGGATTTGGATGGGAACGAGTTGGACGAACCCAGTGAGTCGGCTCGGCATCGTTGATTGGTTTACGACTTAGTTTCCAACCACAGCCAACGGTCTGATCTGACAGGAATGAACGGCACAGATCATCACGTCACCAATATAACCCTAACCCTAGTCCCCCTCCCCCGTCTATAAATTGACATCTGTTACGGCATCTCGCGTTCATCCCCGCTCCTCCCAAATCTCTCTCTCTCTCTCTCATGACGTCTGTTACGGCCTCTCGCGTTCATCTCTGCTCCTCCCAAATCTCTCCCTCTCTCTCTCTCTCTCTTTCGTTTTGCTATCGGTTTTTGTTTGGTTTGACGGGCAAATGAGGAGTGCTTTGATTTAATGGGTAATTTGCGTCTGAAGCATTGATTATGAAGTTACCTATCATATCACCTTGGAGATCTGATGCCCAAGAACTGCAAGTTTTCTCCTCTCTCTCTCTCTCTCTCGCTCGCTCTCTCTTTGTTTTACTATCGGTTTTTGTTTGGTTTGACTGGCAAATGAGGAGTGCTTTGATTTAATGGGTAATTTGCGTCTGAAGCATTGATTATGAAGTTACCTATCATATCACCTTGGAGATCTGATGCCCAAGAACTGCAAGTTTTCTCCCCTTATTTTTCCCCAATTTTGTTATGATTTTGTGGATTCGTCTTTGATTTGGTCGTTAAATCCGAAGTGTTTTTGGTACAGTGGATGGATGGTGATAAGGATAAGACGGAAATGATGATCGATGATTGTTTTCCCTATTGGTTTGATTGCCGGTATGATGGTTCCCATTGCATGAACTCCATCTGATCTCTCTCTGCTCCTTATCATCTATTTTTTCTCTTTTGAAACTTCGAACTTGCTTAAAATTGTGGTCTTATTTTTTATCATGTCAGATATATATATATATATATATATATATATATATATATATATATATATATATATATATATATATATATATATA